GAGAAGTCAAGGTACCGTGCCCTGTGGGAAGTCCAAGGCCCTTGCCCCTCCATCCAGGTGTAGGAAGGTGTGCACCCAAACAGACTAGGCTCCCAAAAAGCCAGTACATGCAATAGAATCAAATGCCAGTGCCATTATCATTGGCTTCTCAGTTAGCCCCATTTTCAGTCACATTCAGAGAGCCGGTTTGATCACAGGCTCATTCAGTCCCAGTCCAGCTGGCTTTGGTGATCTCCCATTAGATCTGTCACACCATCTTAGTGGGTGGATGCACCCATCGTGGTCCGGCCTTCTTGCTCATGTTCTCCCTCCTTCTGCTCTTCATCTGGACCTTGGGATCTCAGTCTAGTGCTCCAATGTGGGTCTCTATCTCTATGTCCATCCTTCACAAGATGAAGATTCTATGATGATATTCAAGATAATGATCAGTGTGACTATGGGACAGGGCAGTTCAGGCACCCTCTCCTCTGCTGCCCATAGACCTAGCTGGGTACACTCCCTTGGACACCTGGGAACCCCTCTATAGCCAAGCCTCTTGCCAACCCTAAAATGGCTCCCTTAGTTAAGATATCGTCTTCCCTGCTCCCATATTGTCCCTTCTTCCATCTCAACCATCCCATTTACCCAAGCTCTCCCCAATCCTCCCTTTCTCCCTTCTCTCTTCTTCTCTCCCCTTCCCACCAGCTCAACCCCCATTGTCCCAACTTTCGCTCGCCCTCTTGTCTACTTCTAATTTCTCCCTTCCAAGTACTAACCAGGCCCGATCCTACTTAGCTTCTGAGATCAGACGAGATCGGGCGCTTTCAGGGTGGTATGGCCATAGACCTACTTCTAATTTCTAATGTCTAATATTGTAATATGAGTGGCAGGGCTGCGTCCCCTGCACCCCGGCCTCCTGCTTGGCTAGCTTATGCCCTGAAATAACAACACACAAATTGTATTCTTTTAAACACTGCTTGGCCCATTATATCTAGCCTCTTCTCGGCTAACTCTTGCACCTGGACTAGCCCATTTCTAATAATCTGTGTAGCCCATGAGATGGCTTACCAGAGAGATTCTAGTCTATGTCCATCCTGGGTCGGAGCTTCATCACGTGTGCCAGGGAGAGGGGAGCATGGCATCTGCTCCAGAGAGCAGAGCTGTCGAGTCTGTCCGAGGGAGGGGAGCATGGCATCTCTGACCTCACTTCCTCTTCTTCCCAGCATTCTGTTCTGTTTACTGCTCCCACCTATGTTTTAACCTATCAGGGCCAAGGCAGTTTATTTAACCAATGACCTTCCTCCATCAGTCTAATGCAATGCTTGATGTTTCCCTGGAAGGAGAATACATTCTATTCAAGCATTCTATGTCACTGTGAAGATAGTTACAGTGATGACACATTGAAAGGGATATGAAGACAGGCATTTTTGTCCCATGACTATGGATCCTGTGTTCTTACATATGGCTCTTCCAAACCAGTTAAAATTCCCTGATTTTCAGAAAATTTTGAATCTGAAATGCTGCAATCAAGAAACAATCTCACACCAAGGGCAGAGGAATGAGACAGAGGGTAGGAGGCACCCAGGAGCTGTCTGGTACACAACTCACAAAACACCGAGGTTTAAGCAGACTCATTTCTCCAAGCAGAGAGAGTGGCATGTATTTTATTTTAAAACCCCATCATGTTTGATACATTCTGTGAATACTTAGTCTATGGAGGAATTATAAAATGTGTCTCTTATATAAGTCAGTCTTTATTCTCTCTTTTTCTTTCATTATCTATCTATCTATCTATCTATCTATCTTTTTTTTTTTTTTTGGTTTTCGAGACAGGGTTTCTCTGTGGTTTTGGAGCCTGTCCTAGAACTAGCTCTTGTAGACCAGGCTGGTCTCGAACTCACAGAGATCTGCCTACCTCTACCTCCTAAGTGCTGGGATTAAAGGCGTGCGCCACCACCGCCCGGCTCCATTATCTATCTTGATTTGGCAAATGAATAACTTGTAGGTTAGTCTGCTCACATACTCACAAATACTTGAGAATCACATTGAATGTCAATGCTGTTTTTTTAAACTATTGGTTTTATATTTGGTTTGTTTCTGTTCTTTTAGATTTTGTTTGTTTGTGTGCATGCATGTGTGCATGCGTGCCGCATGTGTGTGTGTGTTTTGGTTGGTTGGTTTGTTGGTTGGTTTCTAGGTGGATTGTTGGTTTGGTTTCTTTTTTTTTCCTTCCTTTTTTTTTTTAATTTTCTCTGAGGAACTGTCTCATATGTTCCCCAGGCTCTAATGAAACTCCTATGAAGATCAATCAGGTTGACCTGAAAGTGAAAAACACTTGCTCTGATCCTCAGTCCTGGGACTGCAGATTCAGTGTGTTGTTTCTCCCCAGTGTCCAATGGGGAGGTCTGAGTTGACACTCACCATCTCCCTAAGCCATAGGGAAAGTCCAGCATGTCAGGCCGTGCCTTTTCCCTTTCTGCCAGAGAACCCTGCAATAGGGTACTGGAGTGCCCAAGTTGAGATTAATTTCTCTTTTGCACAAAATGATATATTATCTTAGAAAATGTTATTATAAAAGTATGTTAGTAACACAATTCCTTCAGAGAGAAAAACAGGCCAGAGGTATATTTTCTTGAATAAATGAATAAACACAAAGAATATAATTGCACATGATCTGCCGTGCACCAGCTCTCTTGAAGGTCGAAGACTGAGGGAGAACAGGGGTGAAGGCTAAGGAGAACCCGGGATTTGGCGAATGACAGATAGACACAATTCTAATGAGGTTTGAATCTGCTGCAATTTTACTAAAATTCAAGCATCACTTTTATGATATTACAGAAGGAAGTTGGCAGACACAAAAGCTTACATTAATAAAAAATGATTACAGGCAATTGATTATTCTCAGCATGTCTTGCGGTCAGGGCCAGGTGGGCAGAGCTTTTCATTGAAATTCTTCTCACACCATTAACCAGCTGCGCTTTCTCATGGCCCTAAATCATATCTGCCCTCAAGGTAACCCAAATACCATTCTTTTGGATTCCACCCCCAGGGTTTGCTCCAATATTGAATGGGTGGCTTCATATTGTCAAGAATAGCCTGCCTTGCCGGGCGGTGGTGGCAAGGCCTTTAATCCCAGCACTGGAGAGGCAGAGGCAGGCAGATATCTGGGAGTTTGAGGCCAGCCTGGTCTACAAGAGCTAGTTCTGGGACGGGCACCAAAGCTACAGAGAAACCCTGTCTCGAAAAAACAAAAACAAAACAAAACAAAACAACAACAAAAAAAGAATAGTGTGCCTTTCTTTCCTATCTAAAATGCACCAGGGGTTTCTCATTCTGGCTAGCCTCTCCATAAAGGTAACTCATGAGACTCCATACATTTTCCTTCATAATTTACCTATCTTCTACTATCAGGAGCTCTTTCTCTTCTAGGGTATCCATGAATTCCCCCAGAGAGCGAGCCTGAGTCTTAATCATAACATTAATGGCCTGAATCAAGGGAGGGAACTGACACATCAGTTCCTCCATATTCAAGGAGCCCTTGCGAATGTTTCCTGGTTCCTTGAACAGATTAAGTTTTTAACAAAAGAAAAGTAGAACAGAAGAAGAAGATACAGAGCCAATGCAAGAAACCATCACCAGGAACAAAGTGAACGAGGGCATTGAGGCTGATCAGGAAACTCAACTCGAGCAGACTGCCAGGGAGCCGCTGGGGACCAAGTTTCAGGAAGCACAAGCCCCTCATTTTGAGACTACAACCACTTGAGAGGCATTTTGTCACACAGGCGAGACAGCTGTGTATGTGGCAATGAGCAAATGTATTTTGATGAAACTTCTACAAAGTTGATATCAAAGAACATGGCATGCACAAGCTGGATCTATGGAGAAAGTAAGATGAGTAAATGAAGAAACGGGCCACAGGGCTATGGAGATTGGTTTAGTTACTTTTTATTTCAAAGTATATATCAATAGTACATGTCAAGTTATTGCATTTTGATACTTTCATCCAAGTATATTACATGCTCTTGTATTATTGATCCCTTATTTTCTCATCTGTTTCAACAAATAAGTTGGAGCAGAAAACACCGATTGCTCCATCACATATCATGGAATTTGATCACATATTTGATATTTCATGTCTCTGGGAATCAACATTTTTTGCATAATGTAGAACTAAGAACTATTTCTGCATCTCAGATTATGAAAGCAGAAAAGTTTTTCTGAGATGGTACATGTTTCAAAGAAGTTCTCATGTGATATGCCCTCAAGAAAATTTACGTGTGAGTCCTTTTAAATGTTCTTGTGATTACATGCACTTGTGGAAGATAACTATGGTCAGATTTACACAGGTTTGTCTTCTGACTCCTGAAGAAAGAGATGTTTCTGAATGAAGCACATGCTCACCACCTGTATTTCTTTACAAACAAAGCTGGTGGTTTGGTTACAAATGGTTAGGGCATGGCTCATTAGTAGCATGGTATTTTGGAATCCTCCGCTTCAACCTGTTGAGTAGTGATTCTCAACCTTCAGAATGCTATGGACACTTACTGTGGTCTTTCATGTTATAGTGATCTAACTGTAATATTATTTTTATTGCTTCTTCAGAATTGTCATTTTTCTACTTTTAAAACTAGCAAAATGAATACCTGATGCACTATATCTGATACACTGACACTTACTGAGGAGTCATCCAAACTAACCCAAAAGGAACTGAGAAAAACAGATGTAACATTTTTTTGTAAACAAAATATGTAGTATCTATTATTTACAATGCATAAGATTGTCTTCTATTTCTTGCTTTCTGCTGGCAATGCTTTACTGTGTAGTTGCGGTTTCCCTACCTTCAATTTCCACTTCCTCAATTCCCTTAGTTTGGTCTTATTTTTATTGCATCGAATTCTTGAACAGTCTTACTTGTTTCCTTCAAACATTTGATTTTTTCTTAGAAATCTTGACATCCTTTAACCGATTTATTGATTGTCTCTGATGTTTTATAGTCTCTCACTGGTAAGAAAGGACAAAGATCAGTCTGATTTGTGGCAATTCCTCTGATGACGGTGGTATGAGGACGATTGGCGGAAACTATGCTGACACTTGGAGCAAGTGTAGGGCTTCTCTCCTGTATGTATTCTCTTGTGAACTTTCAGGTTGTTCTTATGGCTGAATGGCCTTCCACATATAGGACATATGAAAACCTTCTCTTCCTTGTGTATGATCTCATGGACTCTCAGGTCTGAGACAGTACAGAAGCCTTTGTGACATGTTTTACATACAAATGACCTCTCATTCTTTTGACCTTTCTTATGATCAGAAAGATTAGAGTTTGTGTCTCTGTGGAGTCTCTTGTGGTGATAGTCACAAGTGCAGTTTGCTGCATGACTCGGGAAGTCTTCAGTCTGTGCTGGTCCTGAGGAAATTCTTGGTTGTACCTCCACCATGGGAACATCTCGAGAAGAAGCTTCACTCTGAGATTCTACCTGGTACCTGGCAGTGTCCTGATGTGTTCTGAGATCCAGAGGGATTTCATCAGAAATAGCTCCTGGTTGTACCTTCATCCTGGGGACATCTCCAGAAGAAGCGGCACTCTGAGAATCTTCCTGGTACCTGGCAGTGTCCTGAGGTGTTCTGATATTCGGAGGGATTTCATAAGAAATAGCTCCTGGTTGTACCTGCACCATGGGGACATCTCCAGAAGAAGCTGCACTCTGAGATTCTTCCTGGTACCTGGCAGCATCGTGCCGTGTTCTCTGATCCATACGGATTTCATCAGAAACAGCTCCCTCGTTGTGATCATGAAAATTATCTGTTTGGATAATGAAAAGAGAATCCATGTCATTTTCAACTAGTATCACAACCTTTTCTTCACTAGAGTTCCAGGAATAATCTTGGCAATCTTTACTGTCTTCATGTTTTTTTAAAAATAGGACAGTCTGGGAAACTGTGCCTAAGATATGATCCCCACACAACAGCCCTTTCTCTATACCTCCCTGACACTCACCTGTTGCTAATAACATGTCTTGGGATATCGGCAAATGTGTCCTTTCATTCTCTAGAGTTGATGCTGTTACCAATTGCTGTTCCTTAAAACGCTCGATGACTTCTTTTAATGTCATGTTCTCAGTAAATAGTGCTTCCTGCCCATGCATGGAGACATGAACCTGTAAACAAGCCAGATGAGCACTGCCAATGAATCTGGATGATAGAACACCTGCCCTCCAACTGATTGCACTGCATTACTGGAGTATAGGTTAGCTCAAATGTCTAAATTTCATGTGTAATGTTCTTTTCCTGGCTTTCAAAAGTTGTGTACCCTCAAGTCCCTATTGCTCTGTTTGTAAGTGTTGTGTCACTGTTACCAGGAAAAGGTAATGTTAGCTTTCTATAATGTCTGCCCACAACATTATCTTAAGCTGGCCAATGCATTGAATGAGGAAAGATGAGGATGGTTTAAATTGAAAACTAGGAACTTTCCCCATGAAGAAAGGCCTCACAATGTTCCAAGAATTGTCCCTCATTCCACCAAAGCAATGGAACTATAACAAAATTGCTGCTTTAATAAAAACCCCAAGGTTCGTTATGATTAATCAGAAGAGATTTAGAGAATCACCTCTAGAATAGTGTGTATGGGGTATTTGAAGAATTTCACCACCTTGGTCATTTCTGTCAAATACTGAGTATTATGTAATCCCAGAAATTTTAAAAAATCAAATAAAATTATGTCTAGCTTAAGATTTTTGATTATAAAAATTGGCATTGCTGAACCATTATTCATCAAGTCATTTCTCATGTGTGTCTGTGTTGGATATGCTTTTGAGAGCACACGGTACTCTCCTGCCTCTTGTGTTTAGAAACAGGACAAAATTACACAAACTAGATGATTTAGGAAACCATTAAAGCAATTATGTCCCCTATTCTGCTCCACAGGTCCATGAATCACAGGCTACCTCAGGGATTCAGAGTGTTAAATGCCTTCCAAATGTCTGAAATGAAATGTTTTAGGTAATGCTCATAATTGAGAGACTCTAACTTCCTCCATTTTACCACTGGACCTAATTTCAGTTTATTAAAAACAAATGGAAAATCTTCAACAACATCTCTGACAGCAAAAACAAGGGGAGATCACATCAGATGTCTGCACAAGACCACAAAATATCTCAATGCAATGACCAAAAAAGGACAGTTCTGTAACCCTATCTCAATTCACCCAACATTATGATGATCTGTTAATGGAGGAGGGGAATGAGAAGCTTAGCAAATCAAATATGTTCCTGATTTTTACTACAGAGAAAAAAAATCTTTTGTTTTTATTTATTACTAAAATGTGATGTCTTCTTCACCCATTCTCAGGTGCGTATAATAAGTACAATATAAGCATCTTGCTAAATGAGCAATCATGCTACTCACCATGACAGGAGGCTTCAAGCACTCGTCAGTCAGTCCCCGCATGAGATTCCCCAGGTTTTGTCCACTTGATTCCCACAACTCTTTTACAGCCAACTCGTCTTTGGAATGCCCGATTTTGAGAAATTGCTCCAAGACCAGCTGGGAAATCATTTGCTCCTTGGTCTGTTCTTCTGGCTTCAGCCATGAGTTAAACATCTCCCAGAGTGTTTGCAACTCCCGCTTTACACAGGAGCCATTGTCATTTGGGGAAAAGTTGAGGCAAACACTAGCAGTGTTAGAGTTGACTTCTTCCCACTGCACAGGAGAAACCCGGCTTGTAATAAACTCTATGTTTTCTACCTCACCACCATTTTCTGGTGACAGAGGCTGAAAGGAGTCTTTGAGATTTGAAGCCATTCTGCTGAGAATCCTCTGAATTATTCAAATATAGCAACCAGTATTTTTCTTGTGACCTGAAGATCTGTTTAAAGAAATCAGTGGAATGTGTCAAAACAATGAATTAAAGAGTAACAGTATTAATATCACAGATCTACTAATAGATGTTTCAAAGTAAATACTTCTTAGGAATTCTACACAAATTCTTTAATTTTTAAATTTTATTTTGTTTTATTGAGATAGGTTTTCTCTGTAGCTTTGGAGCCTGTCCTGGAACTAGCTAGCTCTTGTAGAGCAAGCTGTCTTCGAACTCACAAAGATCTGCCTGCCTTAGCCTCCCGAGTGCTGGGATTAAAGGCTTGGGCCACCACTGCCCAGCCACAAATTCTTCTAGAGACCAGAACAAAGAAAAAAATGAAAGTATAATATTACTTTACCCGACAGAAAGACAAAACCTGGTTTGAAAATGGGAAGACCTGAAATGAGAAAACAGCAAGCTGCATGGTAGCCAAGGGTTATCTGCTCACCCCTTTGTAAAAGGTCAATTATTTTTGCAGAGTCTCAAATTTTATGTAGCACCTGTATCTCCCCTTACAAGTGCCATAGAGCAACACTTTTGTAAGAAAAACATTAAAAGTGAAGGACCTGCAACCATCAGTTTGCACAGTAGCAAGGACATGTCCATAGAACAAGAGACCACATACCTCACCTTCAAAATTTTAAAGGGCAAATGCTTGAGCCGAATGGTTTTCCAAAAGTCCTCACAACAACTTAGAGACCTTCCCATGATTGTAAAGCAGCATCTCCCAGACCCACAAAAATTAACAAACCTACACATACCCACGCCACAAAGAAGGGAAATGTTTCTGTTTACCGAAGTGGTCTCTTTCTAGGGCAGATCAGGGCTGATTCCAGCAAGCACTGGGTGCTGATGTGTCTCCAGGCCTGTGCTCTGCTTCAACTGAGCTTCTGCTCAAGTATGTTTTTTTATAGTATCTGACTTCAATGATTCAATCTGATATGCTAATTAGTTAGATACTCCCTTGGATTACAGCTCCTGTGTCTGGGCCTGGCAGCCATGACCTTGTACCTAATAAGGGGGTACACTCATCCATTGCTGTTGGGAATGCAATCTTGTGCAACCACTGTGGAAATCAGTGTTTCGGTTTCTCAGGAAATTCAGGATCACCTACCCCTGGACCCAGCAACACCACTCCTGGGAATATACCCAAGAGATGCTCTATCATATGACAAGAGCATCTGTTCAACTATGTTCATAGCAGTATTATTTGTAATAGCCAGAACCTGGAAACAACCTAGATGCCCTTCAATGGAAGAATGGATGAAGAAAGTGTGGAATATCTACACATTAGAGTACTATGCTGCGGTAAAAAACAATGACTTCTCAGAAGCCTTTCTTGAAGGGGAATGTCTCTAATTTTCAATTTATACCCATCTCTTTTTTCCTCATTTAATACTTTGTCTATCTAAAGATATTGGGAATGGTCATCTGGCTTTATTTTCAGGTTCATGTCTCCATACATGTGCAGGAAGCCCTCCTTTCTAGAAAATGACATTAAAAGAAGTCATCAAGTATTTGAGAGAACAATAATCATCAACAGAGTCAACTCTAGAATATGAAAGGACACCCTTGCTAGTCTCCGAAGAAATGTTATTGGCAACAGGTGGGTTTCAGGAAGGTCCAGAAAGCAGGGCTGTTGTGTGGGGATCCCTTCTTGGACACAGTCTCACAGACTGTCTTATTTTAAAAGGACATGAAGACAGTAAAGATGGCCAAAACTATCCCTGGAACACTAGTAGTCCTGAAAATCAGATGGTTTCTCTTTTCATTATCCATAAAGATACGTTTTCTGAAGCCAGTGACAGAGCTATTTCAGATGGAATCCCTCAGGTTCTCAGAATAGGTCAGGACACTGCCAAGTACCAGGAAGAATCTCTAAATTCAACTTCTTCAGGAGATGTTCCAATGGTGGAGGTACAGCCGAGGATTTCCTCCAGACCAGTGTAGTCTGAATACTTCCAGAATCATGCATCAAAGTCTACCTGTGAGGGTCACCATGAGAAACTCCACAGAAACACATACATATACAAATGTGTGGGATGTTTCAAACATTGTTGGGCTGAACAAGTCTTGGTGGTTTAAAGCACTGTTTGCTCATCAGATGATTCAGGCTTTATTTCCAGCCTCAGTGGTGCCCCAAATCCATCTGTAACTCCAGTCCTTAGAGGTGAGCACCCTCTCTTTAGCTCTGCAGATTGCATGTGGTACATATGTGGGAAAAATGCACACACAAATAACATGAAACAACAAACAAGATTTTGAAATCTTATCTTGATTCATCAGATAAGGAATTGTTTCCTGGATATATTCTCTCATGCTCACCTGTACTTTGCCCTTTACCACATAATAATTTGTATGAAATGGTGGTTCATACCATTTGAAAAAAGGCTTGTTATTGCATAGAAATTCTATACAGAAATGTTGTAATAAAATATCTAGTGATCCATCCATATAAACCCGGAGTCAGCTATAGGTTACTTGATCTAAAACACAATCTTTCCATTATATAATAGATAAAAGAATATGTCAATATATAATAAAACAAACTCAATTAAAATTTGTATCCAACTCAGAACTATCACTTATGACAGCAGGAAAAAAAGGTAGTAATAGACTTGCTATTACTGATAAGACAAACGGGAAAAATATGGGAAACCATGTTTCTAGAGATAGAAATACACTATCTTCCCAACAGTACAGAAATTTTGGAGGAGATCCTATAGGAAACACAAATGGAAATGACGGAATAGGCAATGACAAATGAGCAGACAAGGATGATGATAGTTTGGGTGGCTTTGTCCTCAGGCGAAACTTTCAGAAAGCATTGAGCACTGTGGATGTGCTTGACTTGTCTCTTCAGTATGTAGAGGACACTCACCATGGAGACACTTGAGCATTCCAAGAGACACAGTCACAGGCCATCAGTGAAGCACAGTAAGGACATATACACAGAGATTCTCACATTATTGGACACAAACCATGAGGAGCATCCATAGCTCAACCAGCTTGTCATATTTTTCAGAAATGGGGTCTAACATTCTTGCTTGAGTCAAGATATTTAAAAGCATGTGTCCAAGCCAACTGAGTGAGCAAGAGGGAAAGATGAACGTATTTAAACTTGATCCACCTGGAGTTACTCAGGCTGATTACAATTACTTGGAAGCTACTCAATAGGCCCATACCATACAGAGACAGCATGATCTTTTCTCCATAAATATATATTACCATTTTACATTCAGTGTCATCCAGGAACTCCTTAAACACAAAACATGCTGTTTGCTGTGGAATGACTTCTGTGATGAGAGACAAGGTGTTGGCAAAATTCGTGTCTCAATGATTAGGTGTTTGGGTATTAAATGCTTTCCAGTAATATTAAATGACATAATAAAATAGTTTGCATAATTCATAAGCATTTCCACTGAAGTCTGGGAGAAGGGAAAATTGCCATCATCTTTCTTTCTTTCCTTTCTTCATTCTTTCTTTTCATTAACCTAGCTATCTATCTTTCTATTTTACTTTCTCTTTCCTAATACTTTCCTCCCCTTCTAACTGCATTCCTTTCAGTAGAGCTGTTGAAAGAATTTCTTGATATAGATTTTAAGAACAACTAAGATAGAGAGGGGCACTTGTGAACAAAACAAGATGCCCTGAGAGCACCAACATGGCCACTCCAAGGAGTGCTTTCTCATGTCTTTAGTTCCGGTCACTCACCTCAGTGCTAGATGGCAGCATGAGGGAGTGTGTGGCCACGAAAAATGAAACACTTTACAACTGTGATGAGACATTCAACCTCATGTAAATATTCATGATCTCCCAGTGTTCTTTCTAAGAAAATTTGATATTTTCAACGCACAGCTAGACTCATGACAGTGTCTCCACTAGGGTCTGAAGCAACATTCAATTGCCTTGGACCTGAGTTCCAACCAAGAAAACAAATGTAGTACAAATTACACAAGAAAGCCAAAGAAAGAAATTAGGAATCGGGATGGAAACTTTTCTGTCAGTCACTGGAGTACAGAGGATACGGCAGAGAGTCATGCAGAGGGAACAGTCATTCATGCTATGAAAGTATATGTAAGTGGTATTCTTTTGGCCCTAGGGGGACTTTCCCTATCACCTAGCATCCTAGACAGTTCCCACATCTCAAAATTGTGTGGTACCAAAGGAATTTAGGGGAATCAGCTCACTGATGTGCCTAATCATAGATCAACGTGGATGATGGCTGCCATAATCTCACAGCATTACAAGTTCCTGTGACAGAGTTCCTGCTTCCACTCAGAAATTCTCATCCTGGCCCCCTACCCTAAACCTGATTACCCCAAGAGCTTCACGTTCCTTCTCCCAGGTTCTCTTTCATATAAAACCTTGCGTATTTTTGCCATACTCTCTTGGGATCTTGGTTCTTCTTTTAGTTTCCTTGACATATTCTCTTCTCTAATGTTTTTATCTCATGATTCCTTTCTCTCCTCTTCTTGCCCAGAAATGTCTAGTAGATAATATTGACTCTGTGATATGAACTCTTCCAGATGCCTCTGACCATTCTTTCCACAATACATGCAGGAAAAAACTTTGTCCTCAATGATACTATGAGCAGCAGTTTTTCCCACATTTTATTTTAAAACTCCAAGTATGAATTTGCAAGGGATAATAGGTCATAGGTCATATGTATAACATCTTTCAGAAAAATATTAGAAAATGATTTATCCATGTTGTGTGTGAAACTCTTTGTTAATTTCCATTCTGTAGAAAACTGCATTGTATGTCATTAGGACAATTTATCTTGACAGTTCTTGGTAAGGCCCTTTTAGTTTGCGATATTATGAAGCAGGCTGCTGTGACCTTTGCTTTATGTGAATCCAAGTGCACATAGACATGCATTCCTCAGAAATGGTTTTCATTATATTTCACTATGTTTAGGGAATTGTCTTTTGATATAAGG